CGCTGAAAATGTTTTCGAATGAGGATATTGTTTGAAAATATTTTATTTTAGATTTGAGAACATCCACAAGTATCTATGCAATACCAAGGTCATATAAGTTGAAGTAAGTGTCTATGTATATAAAAAAAGAGTCAGTTTATAATATTACAATTATAAAATAATAGGTGCTATCTATTGATGACGTTTTAAGTAGCATAAAATACAATAAACATTCAACATATTCCGAATGTGAATTGATTTATAATATCAAATAGAAAGTGTTCAGAAATATTCTAATACATTCGACAATAACTGCAATTTTCCAATAATTATTAAATACAGATATTTTGTTGGTGCACTTTATTAATATTAAGATCCTCTGTTACCTTTGTATATGACGCACGCAGTATCATTGCTACCCGTGTGGTACTTTCAGTCACTTATCTTACAATATACCCAGTACAATAAAAAACTCAGAAATGGAGCAAACAAGGACCAGTACAGAACTGCACGAAAGCTCCAGACCGAGAAGAACAGCTAAAGTATGTTAAAATAGCTGTAGAGACGGCGAACCATGAATCCCCTTGATAAGTGCCTTAGACCAAAATCATCTGGTGTTATAGCGACTTTAATACAGATTTGAAACACTAGAGTAAAGTGGTCTATTTCCATAAAAATGGCATTGAAAACCCTCACAAATAGAGCTTGAAAACCCTCACAAACAGAGCCAATTTCTTATTATGAAACTGAGGTCAAAGAATTGTGCAAGTGCGTCCACACCATGAGTCAAGAAATTCGCAAAGCACAAGGGACCAGTAAAGTGTACCTCTCACTTTTGCATGGTTTTCATTGGCAGCAACAAATTCACGAAAAACTAGAATAAACCAGGTCAGATTTTCTGGAGATAGTGCGTTAGTTAGTTTACAGATATAATGTAATTTGAAGTTTTTCCACAGTAAAGTCGAGATGAACTCTGTTCAGAAGGTTATTTCCCAATATTAAACCTAACTATCTCTAAAATCAGTCTAGATCATTAGCTACTCGGAAACCAGTTCTCACGCCTTAGGTACTCTCTGCAAATTACATGGATGCAATATCTTATTAGTGGACGATTTGTTTGTGGTTAAGCACAAAGCTACGCATTGGACTATCTGTGCTCTGCCCATCACGGATATCGAAATCCGCTGCGTTACCTGGGAGAATTATTGGACGAATCTCAGTGAAATAACAATTTAAATATTATTACACTTCATTTTAGTTTTGGTAACGTGTTTTTCTTATTCTTATTTCCACAAAATAAGTAATAAGAGTTAGGACCTTTTAGCAGTAATAAACTATTAATAAACTACTTGTGAGGCAGTTATTTTGATTATTTGTATGGTCTCGCCACCTGGGTTAATAATACTATGACATTCACCTACTCTCAGACGACTTTTAAAAAAATCGATCCATTCCATGAACACATAAATGTAATGAATATTTTATTATTTTCTGTAATGGTGACCTATAAACAAATAAATAGATACAGTATATTTTTTCTTATTCTCAAACATTACGCACAAAATATATAGTGGCAAAACTATATGAGTAATAAATATTATGATTACTTGGTAAAATATTAGAATATAGAGAATATGAACATGTTTTAGCTGTTGTAATTTCAAATTTGCATTTGATGTATTCAGAACATAACTGATCAATAAAAAATATGATTCATTGTAGAGTTTTAACTGCATTTGTAGTTTTGGATGATGAAAATAAAAAACAAATATTTTAGAAATAGTTTGGGGTACGTAAAAAAATAATAATAGTTGAATGTTCAATAACAAGACAGACCTCTGTTGAATGGCATAGGTTCACGTTTCTAACCAAATAATGTTTCGCATATTTCAAAACAACAAAAACCACGAAACAAAGGTTCATTAAAATTATCCGTATTTACTCTCATAACTAAACTTTCACTAGGGGGAATATTTTTTAATTCATGAAAGACATTTTGTAATTGTTGTCAAGTCCCATTGAATTAACCAAAAATATTTAGAAAATGTGAATAAGTACATAAATATTCACTTGCGTATACTTTTCACTTTGTTTGAAGGATGTATTTTCATTCCAGAGAAATGTGATCTCGAATGTGGACCTAACGGGAAGTGTCAAGATAAACAGTGTGTGTGTTTAGATGGTTGGAGTGGGACTTCGTGCGCTGAAAAACTGTGTGACTTTCGATGTGATGAACACGGAAAATGTAAAAACGGAACTTGCATCTGCATTCAAGGTTGGAATGGTCGTCATTGCACATTAGGTATGATTTTGATATACGGAATGTTACTTTTTTTATATACAAAGATACGTTTCTTTCTTTAGAAGAAATTTTTCGATTTAAAATTATTTTATTTAAAAAATACTATCTCCAAGCAAAAGTAAGCGTATATCTGTTTAAAGGCATGTTAATAGCACAGATTCTATTTCATATCTTTGTGACATTATTATGTCTTATTACGTGCAATATCTGTTTTAAGGCATGTTGATAGCACAGATTCTATTTTATATCTTTGTGATATTATTATCAGTCTTATTACGAGCAGTATCACACAAATAACCGATCAACACATCATGCTTAGGCGTTATATACCATAAGACTTGATATCTCATAATTTACTCATATAATTATGTTTCAACTGTAGTTTTATGTGTTGTAAACCCAGTCGAGCTATGATACTAAGCGAAAGACCTCCTCGCTGTTCATATGATTTTATAGGTCTACATTCTACTTACTGGAGACTCTTACAGAACAGTAAAGATGTGATTAAAGTTATTATTGTTATATTTGATTTTATAGATATCTGTAAAACACATTTCATAAGTTCGTATTTCAATATCATAAACTACACCGCAGCTAAAATTTTAGAACATATGCTTTCGAGAAAAATATACAATTATTTGAACACGTACTTTATCTGACAGTAACTTTTATTTATCTGTGTATCTGTCCCAGACAATGCATTTTGTTTCAAATAGATAAGAAACTATATTTTTTCTTTCCAGAGGGTTGTCCAAATAGCTGTAATAACCATGGAGAATGCGTGATAATTGAGAGAGAATGGCAATGCCGTTGTACGTACAACTGGGATGGACTGGACTGCAACATTTTGTTGGAGAGAGATTGTGATGATCAGAAAGACAACGACAATGGTAAAACAAGATTTCTTAGGTAGAAGATACATTGCTTCGAACAAGTAAATGTATATTTTATTGCCACATGCCTTTCTAAACCATACTACATTCTAACAAGAACAGAGATCCGTTTTCAAATTCACACAAGTTTTCAGCGGTTGTACATGGTAAACCTTTAGTTTATCTTATTCACAACGTTTCACCAGGTTTACCCGGCATCTTCAGGTGAGATACAAGAACTGAAGCTAACTTGCGTTTTACTTGTAGATATTCACAACTTATTCTAAGTGTGAACTTAGTCAAGTATAATTATTTCTTTATCTGTCGCTGTTACACATCACAAACGTATAACAGTGTCCCAACGTTTAGATTTTAAAACCGATCTAGACCACTTTGTGCTTTTGAGAAAGGATATATTCACAAAGCTTGAAGAACTGATAAGATGTAACTATACTTTTTTATAATTATACTGCAGGGAATGAAATAGTGAACCTTTCTAAAGGGATGACGAAGTTAACCAAAAAAGTCATACCCTCCAAAATGTGAAATATCATCACCCTATATTTTGTTCATACTTTCATGATATCTATAACTGTTATTTAGATAACTATTTTACGTGATTATGAAAATCTGACTGTCACGTGAATAATTTTGAATATTATAGGAAATCACAGTAACAGTATATATACTAAGAAAAACGTTCATGTGGTTTTCGAAGCAATGTGAAATATTTCAGTGTATATTGTATTGGATTATACCAGGTGTTTCACTTTCTTAGAAATAAGTGTACACCCTACATAGGAAATTTAATCTTTGGAGATGCCTATTCAGAAAAGGTCTTTTACCTCACTCATCTCTGAATATATTTTTATGCTTAAGCGTAAAGCCTGTGTAGATTTGTCATAAATACGAATAATGTAGATTAAAATTAATCTTTTTTATCATATTATGAAAAGTAATTAGAGGTATTTTATTTACTAATTGATATGTTTACAACACTGGCTAAAGAAAAGGACTAAACTAAAACTAAATCAAATTAGTTAAAAGTTTGTTTGTGTTTATTTTAAGCTTATCTTAACTTTTTAATGATACATACCAGAAGAGTATACTCATTTATTGGAATACATACTTAAAAGATAGAAATGGAAACATAATTGTTTATCTGCATTCAGCAATGCAGTGTTAACAGAATGGTGTATAGATTAATTGTTTAACGCTAATGTGGGGAGATTGTATTCACAAATATGCTCTTATTATCTTATACAGAACGTGGTGTAATGTTGTTGCTTATACAACAATTTAAAGTTTTATTACTGCCATTTAATGAAGATGGGTTACATTTTTAAATATAAAATATTATGTTTTGTGCATTTACAGTAAAGGTTTAGATGTTTTGTTTTTCTCATTGAAATATTTCTCTGAAAAATATAAATAGAAGTTGAGCATCACAAATTTTATCTTTTTAATATTAAACTGCATTTCACATGTAATTAATTTATCTTTAAATTCCAACAGACGGCTTAGTGGATTGTGCCGACAGTGAATGCTGCAGTAACGACGCTTGTGAAAACGATCCACATTGCTTCTCAGCCATTGATCCATTAGACATTCTTCTCAGAAAGCAACCTCCAGCAGTGACGTCTTCTTTCTTCCAAAAAATGCAGTTTTTGATTGAAGAAGATTCCGTTCAAATCTACACCCGTGAAAATACTTTCAGTGACAGACACAAAATGTATTGTAGCATATTTTAACCGTAGTAAATTCTTTATCTTTGAGATAAATAAACTATGTAATATGTAGAGTAACAAGAATTAAATATAACGCTTTAAAAATAATTTCAACGGGAATTAAAACTCAGTTTCAATATCATTAAACTCATGTTTTTTGAAAAATTAAACCATTTCTTCAAAGGAAAATCCTGGTTTTTTCACATATTTGTAAATTATTTTATATAATAAGAAATTACATTCTTAATTATACCTAGCTATTAAATAATTTTTACGACACTTGTTATAAAGTAAGTAAACATATTATAACTTTCAATTTCGGAAGCTTATTAACAGTGGAATGTTTTCAAAGAAACAACATAACTTACGAGATTGAAATTATGGCAGAACTAAACAAAAATACTACTATAGTTGTATCATTTGGCTTTCAGTTTTTAATATGAACACTTTAAATGTAATATGGTTTATGAAATTTATAACTGAGTTTAAAAATTCTATAAACCCGTAAATTAATGTTATTTTTGAAAAATTAACAAATTGAATACTTTCTTGTATTGAAAATACAGTGCAAATGTGATATGTACTTTACGATATGAATGTATTATTTATCTGTTTTTGATTAACTCTTGATTTTATTGCATCTTCAGCACGTTTGGGAATCACTTTAATACACGGTATGTATCTTTACCTGTACTTTTATTTGAATGTTATTTGTTAAATTTTTTCGAGAAAAAAATAAACTTTTTACAAATATACATATATATAAATATCACAAAATTATATTGAATCATATCCTCACTGGTATTAAAGCTTCACATGTTTTCATTGAAAATAAGATCTTCAATTTGAAAAACGAGCTTGATAATCTAAACTTATATTCTCTTAAAATATATATTTGACGATTTATATTTAGCCTTTGTTCAAATGCGCGATCGATGAAAAGTAATTTATATGCATTAAAATATAATAAGTATATAGTTAAATCAGAAATTCCCCAACCATTTCTTATGACTATAGAAGTTTTCATCTTTCATCAGGCGTGCTTCTGTTATCCGAGGGCAAGTTATAGCACCATCTGGCAGGGGCTTAAGGGGAATCCGAGTTGAAATTTCTACGGATCCACTCATTGGTTATACTGTTACCAGAGAAACAGGCTGGTAAGCGTTATTTCTATGTCAATTTTAACTCTTCAATGCAAGAGAAATATTAATTAAAAATCTGGTTTAAGGCATCGGTTTTGAGAGGTAACATGAATACACATAAGAGAACATCTTATTATTCGATGTATCTTATGAGATAAAATTATTCTCTACAGATTTGTTTTCACCAGTAATTATTAATTACTATATTTTGTTTAACGTGATATCTCATCTACTCTAATAATTATTTACATATCGCCTGAGTAGACATATAATTACACTTTTTGGTGTAAAGGGATCGCAGGACTTACGACGATAAGGATGTAAGGAAGCTAATTTAGTTCTTTAGTGAGTCATTTAAGGACACGATATTAATTAAGATTAATTACAACATCTGCGGAATAATAATTTTGTCATTTTAATTTCGATTGATAATCATGTGACGTATACTTTAATTAATTGCCTTGGAAATTTGATATTAATCTTATTTTAAATCGATGTCTATGGTTACAATAGCCTGACTTTTTATAGTTGGTTATTAAATTTTTTGATTGTTCAAGTGATTACACCAGTTTTATAATTAGAATATTAAGTGAGTAATAACAGAAATATACTTAGCTAAATTTATTTATTTGACTAATGTATTCATCGGTAAAAACGATTTTTTCCACTGTCTTACAAAGTTAGCATAGACATCAACACCCAAGGGCAACTTTATCATCCCATTAAGAACATCATAATTAACTTTCTAAAATAAAATTTCACTTCTCTTTTATAATAAAAGTACATATATCCATTTACAAACGAAACGACTGCTGTTAAAAACTAACCTTGTATTTTGCCGCGTTTGTTACAACCAGCGGTACACTCAACGTAAGCTACTAAGTATTACCGCTAGGTGGCTGCAAAATACCAAACTCTAAATTAAATAACTGTAGGAGAAGGTCTAATGTCTTTACCTAGACTCTGATCGGCTTACAGTATTATAATATCATTGCTACACCCCTGAATGAACAAGATTTTGGATGTAAAGAAACCTTAGTCACATGTAGAGTGGTACCTGGCCGCGATGAAGGATATAGTGTCGTGAAGCTATTATTAATCTCATAATGGTTTCTGCTCCAGTTTCTTCGACTGAACTTTTTTTTCAATTCTAAATTACGACTTATTCAAATATCTATTATCCATTAAGTTTAATTTGTATTAAAGTTAACACTCAATTATTTACTTTACCAACACCTATACTATCTAAAAAGACATATAGGAAATAGCGTAACGCCTCAATTCTATGTTATGTTATTTAATGAAATATAATAAGCTTAATTTTTCTAAACTTCTCGTTAATCAAATATTATGTTAAATAGCGCTTTTAAGTCAGATAGTGGATATGTTCACATATTCCACAAACTTCAGATTCTACTACACAGTTTCTATCGATTTTGTTAATTATATATCCTTCAGTTTGATTTAAAATTACAAAGGATAAGAACACATATGGGCATTGTCTTATTCAGTACTCATGACGGTCCTTTTCTAAAATGTCCGAACAACTCCTCCCTCCCCCTCTTACTAGCACATCAGGGATCAAGAGTTATTTATATATACATGTTATATTCCAAATATATTAACACATCAAAGTACGTTTTTTCCGCTACTCTGATTTTATAACTATACTTCAGTTAAATTTATAGTTTAAAAATAAACGATTTCTTACATAGTGTAATAATTTTCTATCTATTCATGTTTACATATAATGTGGCCCGGCATGGCCAGGTGGTTAGGGCACTCGACTTGCAATCTGCGGGTCGCGGGTTCGAATCTCCGTCACACCAAACATGCTCGCCC